CTGGCTCTAACCGGTACTAAAGGTCAAACTTGGCCAGGCCAAATAGCAGGAAGCGACCACCTTTAGTACCGGTTCGTGGCTCTAACTGGTACGAAAGGCCACCCTTTAGTACCGGGTGGAGCCATGAACCGGTACTAAAGGCTTGCACTGGTGCAGGTCCTGTGCGGCAAGTTTAGTCCCACCTTGCTAGCAGAGAGGCGTCCACATTGGTTTATAAGTCCCAGTGCGGTAGCTCTCTCGAGCTCCTCTCTTTAGCATGCTTTCGGGCCTAACTTTGCCGCACTGCATTGTGGGCCTGCTCGGCCTTATGGGCATGTTTCCAGGCCCAAGGCCAGACAAGTCCACTGGGTAGCGCACAGAGTTTTTGTTTATGTTGTTTTTTCTGTTTTATTTATTTTCTTTTATTTATTTCTGAGTTGTTTTATGATGTATTTAGAGTTTCTTTGTGAATATTTTTGCTTTAGGTACAAAAAAATTAATATTCTTTTACTTATCTCTGAGTAGTTTTATGATGTATTTAGAGTTTCTTTGTGAATATTTTTGCTTTGGGTATAAAATTTTTATTATTCTTTTATTTATTTCAGAGTTGTTTTATGTTGTATTTAGAGTTTCTTTGTGAATATTTTTGTAGTGCTATGTGGGTTAAATGATGATATTATGCCAAGTTTCAACCTTTTCAGAGTTCATTTGTAGTGCTTTTAAATTTTTTCGCTCAAAACAAATCTGTAAATGCATGAAAAATAGTAAATGATGTCAGAAATGGTTGAAAGTTGATGACGTGGCTTTGAATGGTGCATACTGAACGCAAAAAAGTCTGGAGTTGTAATAAGTTTTAAAAAATGAAGAGTCAATGTAACAGATGAGTTTTCGTCTGAAACCCTGATACTTCGAAAGAGATTGTCCAGTTTGTACACGAAATGCATCCAGTTTTTGCCGTAACCCTCTTTACTTTTTCGCACATGCTATATGGGTGAAATGATGATACCATGCCAAGTTTCAACATTTTTAGAGTTCATTTGTAGTGTTTTTCAATTTCAGAGTCATTTAGCTCAAACAAATCCGCAAATGCATGAAAAATAGCAAATAATGTCAGAAAAGGTTAAAAATTGATGGCGTGGCTTTGAATGGTGCATACTGAACGCAAAAAAAGTCTGGAGTTGTAATAAGTTTAAAAAAAATAAAGTGCCGGTGTACAGATGAGATTTCGTCCGTATAAACATGTAAAAATATACATAAAAATACATTGATCATCAATGATCTTTTTGTGTAGAATCTAAATTGTCAATAGGAATCTTCCCCGGTTTAAGAACCGGCGAAAATTCATATTGCGGCAACAGATCTTATACATAGAGTTCACTGAAGATCAAGTGGTTGTGATAGTTTGAGAAGTAACATATTTAAGGTGGTAAAAACCCTGTTAGCCGAGCGGTGTGGGACTAAAAAACCGCTGTAACTAAAAAACTTTAGTACCAGTTTGTGGCATGAACCAGTACTAAATGTGCTGGTGGGGCCTCAGCCTGCCAACTGCCTGCCACAACTATTTTTGTACCGGTTCGTGGCATGAACCGGTACTAAAGGTTCGCCACGAACCGGTACTAATGAGCGACGTTCGCCTAGCCGTTTGAACCGGCACTAATATGACCATTAGTGTCGATTCATCTACTAACCGGTACTAATGTGCTGAACATTAGACCCTTTTTCTACTAGTGTGCCAGGAAGAAGTCTTGCTCCAATATCTGTGTTGTCACCAAAATATTAGACCAGGACGAAACCGGCACATTGGAAATTATTGAGAAGCTAGATGTACCTGCGCTAATATATACTCCCTCCGTTCCAAAATAGACGATCCAATTTTGTACTAACTTTGTACTAAAGTTAGTACAAAGTTGAGTCATCTATTTTGAAACGGAGGGAGTAGCGGACAACATATACCCATTAGAGTTCATTCCTCGCATTGGCGGTAAGCGAAGGGTAGGCTGTCATGCGGGACCACATGGCCACATCTCACGTGCCACCTCTAATGACCTCTTTGGCCAAGTTGTCACGGCCTCCGACTCAATCGGTCACATCACCATCGTATCTGTGCCAAAGGGATCATGAAGAAAAGGACATGTACATCGTAGGGGATGCCGGTTCTCAACGGATCATGTCGCCATCCACTCCTCCGCTGCACCTCGACGTGCGAGCCGCCGCCGCCATACGTCCCCTATAACCAAGACACGAAATAGGCTCTCAATCACGCTGAAGGCCGACCAGAACCTCAGCCCCAGCCGTTGCAGACTGGAAAAAGGTCAAATGATCCACCACCATCAGCACACTGCCCTTGAAGCCATGGCGACATGGCAACCAACACCTTTCATAGGATTCCTCCATGGAGTTCGGGCTCGGTTGGAGTGCACGCCATCTATGGCCGCCGCAGCTCCCCGGTCGAAGGGCTCCCCGCGGCGAGTTCGCGAGCTCAACGCCGCCATCGAACCTAGCCGGCTTCTTTCGACGGCGGCGAGATAGGTAGGAGGGGATGGGACGGGGGCTAGGGTTGCGCGCGAGCCGCCCCCTATAAGCGACGTGGGCATTTTATTGTCTCTATTATGGATGTAAGTAGTGAGTAAACACATGCAAGTCTCTTTAGGAAAGGGTGTGGCTAGATCTCGATCAAGTGAACAACATGAAGAAAGGAAAAACTAAATGAACGTGATTAGGTGAATGCGAATGAAGTGCTTTCCTCAAACAAAGAATATACCCTAGATTGGAGTAGTGCACCCATACCATATATAGCCTAGGTACAAGAATCAACGGAGTAAGAGCATCTCCAACAGGCACCGAACGCGCGGCACGCTAAATTCTGGTTTACGGCACGCCCTTCGCCAGCTTTGGCGCGGCGCGCAGCGCTGACTCCAGCGACCGCGCTAAAATGCAGCGCGCGCACGTAGCTCCAGCAGGCGCGCTAAAGTGCAGCGCGCACGCTCATGCTACAACTTTTTTTAATTAAATTTGCATAGATAAAACGATACATAGTTCTGGCATAGATAAAGAACGATACATAGTTCATCATAGCATAGATAAAAAAGGATACAAAGATATTTTACATAGTTCAAAAGCATAGATAGATAGAACCACGATGCAACTAGATAAAAAAATTACGGTGCAACGACAGAAACTACGGTGACTCCCAGCCGTCATCATTGTCACCATCATCATCTTCGGTGGTATTGTCCGAGGTATCGAGTCACATGTCATCCCAACGCAGACCGTTGGGGGAGAAGATCGACTGTCCACCGTTCTCGACGATATCGCACTGCGATAAGGCCAATTCCTTGCACCGACGCCTGTCGGCATGCTCCGCGCGGCGCCTTGCCGTCCTCTCTGCCCAGAACTCGTTCTCGGCGGCGACGTCCTCCGGGTGGCGACGGCGCCACTCCGCCATGGCTCGCTCGTCCTCCTCAGCGATGAGGAGGCGGCGCTGCTGCCGCACGTGGTCCGCACAGTCCTGGTCGGTGATGAGACTAGGCGGAGGGGCGAGGCGCTGCGCCTGCTCGCGCGTGAAGACGTCCCGAAAGTTCATCTGCGACCGGGGCCTGTCCAAGCGTCACGCCGCCGCGTCGTACGCGTGGGTCGCCTCGTGCGCGCTCCGGAACTAGCCGAGGCCAAGCCGGATGTCGCCGGATCGGATCTCGGTGGAGTACCAGTCCGAGGGGCGCTCGCGGACGCCGCGGTAGCCCGAAGAACCCCGGCGGCGCGGCGGCATGGTGGCGCGGTGCTGGCGTGGAAAGCGGCGAGGAGGAGGCGCGTGGCAGTGTGCTTGAGCGCGTGACGAGCGTCAGATTTTATAGGCGCGCGCGAAGCGGCGCGCCAAATCTACTGCGCCAGGTGCCGCTTTCTCCCCCGCGCGCGCTAACGCTTCCTGGTGCGGTAATCTCCCGTCACCGCTGAAGCGTGCGAAACCGGGCGGCGCGCGCTAAAAAGCAATTTTACCGCGCGGGCGCGTCTTAACGCGCCGGTTGGAGATGCTCTAAATGTTTTAAATCAGATCCAAATCAGATCTGATTTGGTTTTGGCCATGTACATCAGGTACACATTAAATGAGTATCAATCTCTTTCCGTACAACAGATCCTAAGATCTTCTAAGCAAGGTAATTACACCGCATCATTTGCTGCTATATGCATCAGCATCTATCAACTTCCGCTGATTCGTTGTCCTATAAATAGCCATCTAGAAGCCCCATAGGCGATGTAGAACAACAAAAAGGCATTGTAACTGCATAGACATCCAGTCCAGGCATGCTAAACAGCGGCATGGGCACCAAACCGATAGTGATCATTGTGGCATGCGTGTTACTTTGCATTACCAACAGAGGTATGGTATTCCAAACAATCTCCAAGAAGTAGTAGCCGCAGATTGTCAGATTGACAACCATATTACTGCTACTATCTCCATGTCTATGAATCCACATGCTAGTACTCCCTCCGTTCCTAAATATTTGTCTTTCTAGAGATATCAATAAGCGACTACACAAAACGAGTGAATCTACATTCTAAAATATGTCTATATACATCCGTATGTAGTAGTCCATTTGAAATTCTAAAAAGACAAATACTCCCTCCGTCCCAAAATTCTTGTCTTAGATTTGTCTAAATACGGATGTATCCAGTTACATTTTAGTGACGGAGGGAGTATTTAGAAACGGATGGAGTATATATCTATCTCCATGTCCATGAATGCACATGCTAGTATCTATCTCCATGCCCATGAATCCACAACATGCCATTCACTGACTCGTTTCCTTTTCAGGTGTTCACGCAAGCAAGGCAGATGCATCGACATCGTCGTGCAGAGCTTCGGATCTCGTCGTCAGCACGGCCACCGAGGCGGGCTCTGGGGGGAAACCTCAGCACTTCGTGAGCGTGATCAACACTTGCAAGTGCGCGCAGAAGAACATCAAGCTGGCATGCCCGGGCTTCAACCACTCCATCGATGTCTTCCCGGCCAGCGCCATCAGGCGGGACCGCGACGGCGTGCACTGCACCCTCCTCGGCGGCCGCCCGGTGGGGCCTGCCCGGTCGGTTAGCTTCATCTACGAGTCGAGCGCAACCTTCAGCTTCAAGCCCGTCTCCTCCACCAGCGTCTGTTAGATCTTTATATAATAATAACGGGTGAATAGATGGTCTTATGATTGTACCGTAAATCTGCTTCCTTTGAGACAAGAAAATCTGTCTCTATTCTGGCAATAAGAGCTTTGGCGTGTAACTGCAAGTTTTGAAGGGATCAAACTCCCTGTTTTTTCTGCCCTTTTTGAAAGAAAAAAACATAGTTGCAGCTTATAATTTTCAGCGGAAATTTTATCTCATGTATATGGTTCTTCATGGTAGCCGAGTGTTGACAAATCGGCCCAATGGGAATCATACGTGCGTGTAAGCTTGTTGGCTTAAAATTAGTAGTAGGCCGATGTTGTGCGACGTGCTAGAGTCAGAAAAAAAGGAGAGGTAAAGTGGGTGCGCATTAGTTGAAACAGAAATTGGGTACTCTTAAGGTTCCCATTTAATGGTGCCTCTAACTCTCATCTAGATGAGAATTAGTTACTCTTATCTAGAAGAGAATTAGTTTTTTTTAGACAACCTTACGAAGTTTTTATTAATCCGTCACAATATTTACAGGGACGAAAGTAAGGTCTCCAGGCAGTCCTAACCAAACATGGCGGCCACCTTGGAGAGATAAAGCATACTTCGCTAAGTTGTGAGCTTCGAAGTTCGAGCTCCTAAATTCATGGCTAAAATTACAAAAATCAAAATCCAAGGAGTGTCGTATTATCTCATGTATAATCGCTCCATAAACGGATGACGTCCCCTTCTTCAAATCTTCCACCACTACCTTGCAGTCCGAGGCCACATGTATCCTCCTTTCATAGAGATCATCTGAGAGATCTAGTGCTTTTGCAATCGCCTCCAAAGTCTGTGGTTCTACAATAAAATTGAGGACCATTACAGAAGCTCCCAAGAATGTCCCATCCGCACTACGACATACTGCCCCAACAACACCATACTTAGCTCATCTCGACACCGCAGCATCAACATTAACCTTAACACATCCCGCTACCGGTGTTTGCCACTGGTTCGGTCTTGGGATGGCCGCAGGACTCGCTTTTGGCAGTTTTGCATTGATTGCACTAACTTCAGCCAGACAGCTCGTGATGAAACCATTTATGCCATGCGGTGTTATATCTTCATAAATCGCTTTTCTCCTTGTCTAATCTAGAGAGCTTCATCTACAATCACCGGCGGAGCTTCTGCAAGGCCGAGTGGGCCGTGGCCCGCCCATGGCTGGAGCAAAAAAAAAATATGGCATCATACTCAGCCGGCCAGCCCACAAGATACCTGAAGTGCAGCCCACGCCGATAGAGTAGGGTGCCTCGCAGCCTCACCGCGAGGACTATTTCTCGTGAAACCCTATTTGCCTCACCGCGAGGACTATTTCTTGTGAAACCCTATTTGTCGCTCGATGCGGCAAATTGTCGGAGTGACGCACAGGAGATCAACGAGGGCATTAGCGGGTGGGCCGGCCCGCGAAACATTTCAACAATTCCGGTTTGGGGAACCTTCTTGTTGATTCTCAGTCGTTTTTTTTTCGATTTTGGGAACCTTCTAGGAGGTTCCTGAAACTTTTTTTCCTGTTTCATTTTCATTTTCTTTTCTTCTATTTATTTTTCATTCTCCCTCTTTTTATTTTTTATTTTTCCTTTTGTCATTTTCAATTTCTTTTTTCTATTTTCATTTTTTCTGTTTCTTTTTTGTCTTTCCTCTTCTTTGTTTTTATATTTCAGAATTCTACAAATGTTCAAAATAGTTATTATTTTATTTCCATTTAATAAACCTTTCGATATTTTAAAATTTATTCACACTTCGTGAAAAATGTTCAAATTAAAAAAAACGGTTTTCAAAACAATTGTTTATGTGTTAAAATAATGTTCATGTCTCCAAAGTTGTTCGAGATTTTCAATAAATTCTACGTTTCAAAATTTGTGCACAAATTTAATAAATGTTCGTGCTTTCAAAATCTTCGTTTCTAAAATTAGTTCTAGTTTTTATTTTTATTATCAGAAGTTCAGAAAATGTTCAGAATATTTCATAATTTGATTGCATTTCCACAAAAGTCCGGATTCTAAAATTTTGCTTCAAGTTTGAGAAATTGTTCGCGTTTTATAAAAAATGTTCAAGGTTTTCAAAAAATGTACGGTTTTCAATAGTTTGTGCACGTATTCATAAAATGTTCGCAATTCTTGGGAATTTAAATTTTGTTCGTATTATTTTTAGAGTGTTCGTGCTTTCAAAAGGGCACCAACGCCGCTTCCAGTACAAATGGTTTGGCAATTTCCAGAAATGGCTAGATTATTCGGAGGACAAACATCGTGTATATTGTTTGTATTGCTTTATCTCTAGTAAAAATGAGAATAGATTAGATGGTTCTCATGTCTTCACAGTAGATGGATTTGATAGTTGGAAGAGAGTTAAGTCTGCAAAACATTGTGCATTCTTAACCCACATGGGTTCTGGACCATGCTCACCACACAATGATGCATTCACATATGGCCCAGCCTTGATGAAGCAATGTGGGTTAGTTAAGGACAAGGAGAAAGTAGAAAGAAAGCGTCTAAGGCTGGAAGTTTCAATTGCAACGGTTAAGTGGCTCGCACTTCAATCTTCTTCTTTAGAGGACATGATGAAAGACCCCAGTCAAAGAATAAAGGCAACTTTCTTGAAATGGTGGAGCTTCTTGCTGAATTCAATCCTGATATTGCCAAATGTGTTTTGGGGGATGCTCCATATGGTTCTAAACACACATCACCAGATATTCAGATGTTATGGCTTATTTTGGTCCGAGGTAGTGTGTGTGTGTGTGTGTGTGTGTGTGTGTGTGTGTGTGTGTGTGTGTGTGTTGTAATCAATGTGACTATTGTGCTCTTTGGCCCGCCCAACTTTTTTTTTCAAGCTCCGCCACTGTCTACGATGTTGGACACTTTTTGTCCCTTTTATTTTGGGTTGGGCTTTTTTTTCCTTGTGTGTTGTTGTTGGCTGGCTAACATTGGCAGGACCACGTGGTGAAGCATCTATCTGATGATTAGGGGTTAGACCGGATCGGATTCAAACGGACAGTGCACACATCATATTCAATTTCATATTTTATATCATATTAGTTATATTTGTCTAACTTTGTGATATGTTTTAATGAAAATCGAAAAGACAGCTCGTTGTTCAAAGAAAAAAATGGTCTCGTGGACTGACTGAGAAGTAGTTGTGTTGTCATTGATTTCGGTACTGGTTGGCCTTTTAGATGCCTCGAGTGCACCAAGTGGGGGCAAGGTGAGCACGCAGATGGAAATGTCCAGGAATGAATTCGGTGCGCCCATCCTTATGGTGCTACCAGCTCAATGGCTGTGGTATCATAATTTAAAATATTCTAGAAAAAATACCTAGCAGATTGATAAAGCATCAATGTATGTTGTCATAAAATTCCATATTAAAATTCGAAACATTTCTCAAGATACAAAAGTATAAATTTGACATCATTGTGATAATGAGCCAAATCTAAAGCCCAACTTATGTTATGTACTACTCCTTTCGAACTAAAACCGTGACTCTTATTATTTAATTTCGAATTTTTTATTTTCATTTTTCAAACAATGTTTTGAATTTTGTGACAAATATACATTGAGGTTGTGTGGACGTGTTAATTTTCTTTGGAAACTTCCCAAACATTTTTAAATGTGCTATGGCCTATAGGAGTTTGACGCACCGGAAGCACGAGATATTCTGAAGGAGATGGTCACTTGCACAGCCCACGTCACTACAGTACTAGAAAAATGTTTGAATTAAAAAAAACATCTGAAAAACCAGTCACTACAGTACTAGGTTGCTACAGGACAGTACGCTACAGTCAGTGGCACCTAGAAATAAAATGGAGGGTGTGTACACTTTGAAAAAAATGAGATCTATTTCAATTAGCTTTGCATGGGCCTTGAAAATCAGCAAATTTTTACATGGTCAAAAATATGTCCCAAAATTCTGAGTGTGCCATGGTAAACCCAATAGGTACACCACTGGCTACAGTACTCCATCCGCTCCACAATATAAGGTGTATTACTTTTCTCAAAATTCAAACTCATTTAACATGGACGAAGTTTATAGCCAAAAATATCAACATCTTCAATACAAAATGAATAAAGTACGGAATTTCGGAATTACATTATGTATATTGATATATTACTCTATAAATTGGGTCATAGCTGAAGGAGTTTGATTTTTCAAAAATTAATATACCTATATTTAGAAACGGATAAAGTACGTTTCAGGGTTGTACAGCACGTCAACAACTACAGTGCGCGTTAAATTGGCCGGCTCAGCCGTGGCTCCCTATGCGTCGGCTGCCTTTTTTGATGCTTATATTGCGTCCGATAGGAGCTCCCCGGAGCTTTGATGGCGAAATCCTATCTGCCACAGAATGCGGCAGATTGTCGATCATTCGCACAGAGCCAGCGAGCAGCAAACAAAATGGACTAGCCCAATTATCATTAAACAATTTTGGGAACCTTGTACGACATTTCCAGCCGTTTTTTCCGGTTTTAGCAACCTTCAATAAAGTTCCTGAACAGGTTTCCTTTTTCTGCTTCTGTTCTGTTTTTTCGTTTTTCTTTTCTCCTGTTTCCTTTTCATTTTCTCTCTTTTTTTCTTTTCCTTTCCTGTTTCGTTTTTCTTTTTCCTGTTTCTTTTTTTGTCCCTCTTTTTCCAAAAAGTAAATTTATAATTTCCAAAATTGCTCACTTCATTTAAAAAAATGTTTGAACCTAAAAAAATTAAGGATTTTCATATTAGAAAAATGTTTGCATTTTAATTTTTTGTTCATAAATTTTTAAAATGTTCAGGTATGTCAAATATTGTTCCCACTTTCAAAATTTCTTTATAAATCCCAAAAATGTTCATGTTTTCAAAATTTATCCCAATTCAAAAAAATGCTCGGTAATTTTTTAAAAATTTCAATATTTTCACAAAATGTTTCTCTTTCCAATTTTGTTCCCACATTTAAAAAACGTTTAAATTTTCAAAAGAGTTTAGCATTTTTTTAAGTTTTCAATTAATGAAATTCATGTTTGCAAATTTATTGGAAAATTAAATAGTTCATGTTTTAAACATGTGTTCACAAATTCATAAAATGTTCGCTGGAATTTTAAAATATGTTTGTAATTTAAAAAAGTGATGGCCTCCTTATTTCCCCCTATTTAAAAAAATTGTTTGTCATTTCAAAAACTGTTCAATTTGTTTCCCTTTTTTCAGAAAATGTTTGAGATTCGTGTTTCAGAAAATGTTTGAGTTTTTAAAAAATTACTAAGAAATACCAAAATATTTGGATTCCAGTATTTACTTCTTTATAAAAAGAAATCGCGTTCAAAAATTCAAAAAAAAAAACTTTAATTCTGTTTCGGCTTATAGTCCATATAAGGCGGACTGCAAGTTTTGACATCAAGTCTTAATAGTTACGTTGGCTAGAGACCTTGCACGCTTCCAGGAGGTCCTCGGATTGATCCCTCGGACATGCTATACTTTTTGGGATTTTTAGTTTCGCCGTTGCTGCTTGATTCGTTAAAAATCGCGTTGCAAATTGAATGTGAGAAATTGTAGTCGTAGTGGCTAGGACAGCGCGCGAAATTGTACGAAGTCACGGTTCGAGACACCTAGCGCACTCCTGTTTTTACAAAAAAAAATCATCTCACGAACGTGCCTCCTCGTGCCACCGCAAATGGGCCGGCGTAGGTTAGCCTCCCCTGTGCGAAACGCCGGCGCTTTCATGCGCTTGTGTACACGTACCCCTGTTCAGGATATTAACAGACACAGCATTTCGAAGACCAACGTTCAGCCAGAAGCATGCTACGCATAGGATCCATATATATGGATCGAACGAACCCTCAAAAAAAAAGGATCGAACGTGTCAGATCGACCTTTTTTTGGGGGCCATCGTACCGCGCTTCACCCGAACTTATCCCTTTGATGATTTTTTTTCTTCTCCTACTCGCCTTCTCCACTTCCACCTCGCTTTATCCCCCCACCCTCGCCCGATCACGCGCAGGTTGCGGCGCTACTGCTGCACACACCCAGCCACAAACTAGCTCGGATGCTGAGACTCCCTGGGCGGTGATGCTACAACCGGCATGGGAGGGTGCTACAACCTCACGCCGGCGAGATGCAACGGGCTCGGGCGGGTGCTACATGGAGGCGGCAAGCTACAACCAGCAATGGCCGGGGTGCTACAACCTCAAACGACAAGCTACGACCATCACGAACGGGCGCTACATCTGGTGGCACGATGAGCTGCAATCGTCACGTCGGCAAGCTACCACCGCTTGGGCAGCGAGTTGCGACAGACATTGGGCGGTGCTACAACCTCACAACGGTAAGCTGCGGCCGGCACGAGCAGTGTTACAACAGGTGCCCAATGAGCTGCAAGCGACACAACGACAAGCTTCAATCCTGGCGGGTCAGCATGTAGATGATGGTGATCATGCCGGCGAGGGGAGCTGCAACCATGGTGGCGAGTTGCTGGAACCTTCTTTTATTCGAGCTGCGTTAACATACGTGCAGGCAGGGGCGTAGCTACGTACAACTACCCGGTGTCACTGGCACCGGGTCCAATCTACACTTGCTTAAGATAATCCATTGATTTAGTGTGTAGGTCATTGATTTTTTGACGTGTTCTTCTATGTGGACACCGGATAATCTTCAGTCTGGGTCCGCCCCTGCGTGCAGGACGCCGGGGGCGGTGACCACGCCGTGCGGGAGGTTGTGTGCTCATGAATCGCTAGTCGTTTTGGGGTGGGAAGAAGGAATCAACGGCTGTACGTTGCCAAATTTGACGTCCGTGGTGCGACCGGCCGAAATTTCGGCGGGCGCACCGGGCCTATCACTGTCTTTTTTGTTTTTGCCGTTCCCTTGTACACGTTCCTGATGCCGGAGATGCCGCTCACACAACAGTATAACACACACACACGCACACACAAATCGGTTCACCTTGGGTCACCTGCATACTCAAAATGAACCATCGACTCTGCTTGTCGGACAGGTGCATGCGGCAACAGAGATCAGATCCGCACGCCACTGCTGGTCTGCACCGAATAAGAATCGATCGACTGTTTACTCCCACTGCTGATCCGCACCGAATAAGGATAAAGCCAATCGGACGGACACACCCCTCACCCTGCCGACCACGCGAGCGGAACAGAGCCAGCCACACACACCACACCGTCGACTTCCCTAAGCCTAGACTATTCGGCGTGAGTCACAGCACTCCAACGATTCCTCTTCCCCCTGCTCCCTCATCCACCCGTCCAGAACAGTCGGCACCACCGATGTCGACGGCGACGTCCCAGCGCCCACACGTACGTACGTGTCCACCTCCATGACTTTATCTCGCCGACATGGTCACGGCGCTGCTATAAAATCACCACACCAGACACTGCTAAATCAACAACACTCATCACCTCCAGCCATCAGCTTTCAATCCAGCTACCAGTTCCAGTTTAGCACACAGATTTTATCTCGGGCCAACCTCCAGATCCATCAACAATGGTAAGTACCATAACGATCTGGATCTTCTTCTTCTTGATCAGTTCGAGCTGAAATCATGAAACCCAATTTGTTCTGTGAATAATCTTGGTGGAATTTTGGCTGGGTGCGCAGGCGAACTCTGTGTCTGGGGTGGCGGTGAACGAGGAGTGCGTGAAGGCGTTCCAGGAGCTGCGGGCGGAGCGCAAGCACCGGTTCGTGGTGTACAAGATGGACGACGACGCGCAGCAGGTGGTGGTGGACAAGGTGGGCGCGCTCGACGCCACCTTCGACGACCTGGCGGCGGCGATGCCCGCCGACGACTGCCGCTACGCCGTCTACGACCTGGACTTCGTGTCGGAGGACTCGGCCGGCGAGACCCCCCGCAGCAAGATCTTCTTCATCCACTGGTCGCCGGAGTCGGCGGACGCGAGGAACAAGATGCTGTACGCCAGCTCCACGGAGGGGCTCAAGAAGGAGCTGGACGGCGTGCAGATCGACGTGCAGGCCACCGACGCCAGCGAGCTCACGCTCGACATCCTCAAGGACTACACCACCTAATTAAGCTAATCCGTCCATCACGCACGCACGCGACTGGATCCAAATAATGTTCTTCATGTGTGAATGATTGAGTGGTTCTTCTTTTCAAGATTGGTAATTGAGTGCTTGATTTATTCCTTAGCAGAAAAGAAACATATAAGAGCATCTACAGCCGGAATCAGCAAATCCGGCTCCTCAAACGCCCGCGGACACGACCAGACGCGTCCGTTAACATTGACCGGACACGCCTCATATTTCCTTCTTCATATATGACTCTCTTATATTCATCCCCTAAATCCATACAAAAGCATGTAGTTCTATACTACTCAAATTTCATTGTTGTCGGAGATGGCCTGAGTCGCCTGTGCCAGATCTGTTGTCGACGGCGATGTCTGGCCTCCGCAGCCGACTCCGAGCGGATGGAGTTTAGGATGGCGTGCTGCTCCGGCCACACGCCCACTTCCTCCTCCATTACCGGCGCCTCCTCCTCCCCCCATCCAGCGACGGCGCCTCCTTCGCCGGCTCCTCCTCCTCCTCCTTTCCCTCGTCCGCCGGCTCTTGTCCTCCTCCTCTTCCTCCTCTGTCGGCACCTCCTCCTCCACCCCCTTGAAATGCTCCTCTAGTTCCAGAGGTAGCCCCACTTCCCTACAGATCGGAACCTGCTCAAGGAGGAAGAGACGGTGTTGGATCATGTAGAAGCGGCGACGCGGGGGCATGGCTAAAGGGCTCGAGTGGCGTGCTACCTCTTGAGCACGGCGTTGGATTTCCCCGAAGAGGAGAGAATGATGCAGCAAAGTAGCATAAGTATTTCCCTCAGTTTTTGAGAACCAAGGTATCAATCCAGTAGGAGACCACGCACAAGTCCCTCGTACCTACACAAAACGATAGCTCCTCGCAACCAACGCGATTAGGGGTTGTCAGTCCCTTCACGGTCACTTACGAGAGTGAGATCTGATAGAGATGATAAATAATATTTTTGGTATTTTTGGTATATAGATGCAAAGTGAAAAGTAAAAGGGCAAAGTAAAAACAAAGCAAGTATTAAAGTAATGGAGATTGATATGATGAGAATAGACCCGGGGGCCATAGGTTTCACTAGTGGCTTCTCTCAAGAGCATATATATTCTACGGTGGGTGAACAAATTACTGTTGAGCAATTGACAGAATTGAGCATAATTATGAGTATATCTAGGTATGATCATGTATATAGGCATCACGTCCAAGACAACTAGACCGAAATTATTCTGTATCTACTACTATTACTCCACTCATCGACCGCTATCCAGCATGCATCTAGAGTATTAAGTTAAAAATAGAGTAACGCCTTAAGCAAGATGACATGATGTAGAGGGATAAATTCATGCAATATGATAAAAACCCCATCTTGTTATCCTCAATGGCAACAATACAATACGTGCCTTGCTGCCCCTTCTGTCACTGGGAAAGGACACCGCAAGATTGAACCCAAAGCTAAGCACTTCTCCCATTGCAAGAACTACCAATCTAGTTGGCCAAACCAAACGGATAATTCGAAGAGACTTGCAAAGATAACTCAATCATACATAAAAGAATTCAGAGAAGATTCAAATATTATTTATAGATAAGCTAGATCATAAACCCACAATTCATCGGTCTCAACAAACACACCGCAAAAAAGAAGATTACATCGAATAGATCTCCACGAGAGAGGGGGAGAACATTGTATTGAGATCCAAAAAGAGAGAAGAAGCCATCTAGCTACTAGCTATGGACCCGAAGGTCTGAAGTAAACTACTCACACTTCATCGGAGGGGCTATGGTGTTGATGTAGAAGCCCTCCGTGGTGGATGCCCCCTCCGGCGGAGCTCCAGAACAGG